TGGGAAGAGATATTGATTCTTCCTTTTCTTTATTTTTATAAATCAGAAGGTCTTTTCGTTCTTTTTGTTTTACTGTATTGATTGTGTTATTGAGCTCTGATTCTAAATATCTTTTTTCCATAAATTTATTTTTTAGAATATTAGCTTGTTCATTAAAATCTGTTATTTCTGAACAGTTCCTACGAAGACATAGGAACTGACTCTTTGGAGCACTCTCAAGCCAAGGCTTGTAGTGACAACTAGTTTTGTCGATGGCCGTGTTAACACACACCTTTTTGAAAAAAGTTTTTGTGTGGAGTTGGCCTTCTTTAATAAAAATATTAAGGTCCAGGAAATTAATGGATTCTTTGCTATATTCATGTGTTAAAATAATGCCCCTATCATTAGTATTAAGATAATTTATAAAAACAATTAAGTCATCTTCTGGTCCTTCCCAGATAAAAAAAAAAGATCATCTATGTATCTAAAATATGAGACTAGGTTTGCCCGCCAAGCATGGTTGTCCCAGATCACTTCGGATTCCCAGTCTGCCATGGACAGATTAGCGTAGCTTGGGGCAAACCTAGTACCCATAGCAGTGCCCCTCTTTTGGAGATAAAATGAATCTAAAAAACAAAAATAATTATTTTTTAAAATTATATTAATACCTTCTATTATAAAATCAATCTGGATGGAAGGAATATTGTCTTCTAGAGTAAGGATCCTTTTTATGGCCTGACACCCAATATCGTGCGGGATGATTGTATAAAGTGACTGAACGTCGCAGGTAACTAATATAAAATTAGGTTTCCAGCTAAAATTATTTTAAAAATTTAAAAGTGACATTGAGTCTTTCAAGTAATATTTCATTAGTTTTACTGAAGGCTGAAGTAGGGTGTCGATGTATTGAGAAAGGTTGCATAAAAGAGACCCTATTCCTGAGACAATAGGTCTTCCTGGGGGGTGCTTTTCATCTTTATGAATTTTGGGAAGGAAATAAATAACAGGAGTAATAGGAAATTCTTTGTTTAAAAAATTAAATTCTTGTTTATTTAAAATGTTTAGATTGAACCCTTTATTTAAAAAAGTAGATAATGTAATTTGGATATTTTTTGTAGGATCAGATGGGAGTTTTTCGTATACATTTTTATCATCTAGTTGTCTTAAAGCTTCTTTGATATACATTTTACTAGATTGAATAACTACTCCTCCACCTTTGTCGGCTGATTTTATAACGATAATCCTACTTTTTGCCCCTCTCAAATTGGCCCCCATTAACTATATGCCCCTTTTAATTTGGCCACTTTTTCATATATAGCCCCCTTTTATGGGGACTTTTGTTTTCATGCCCCTTTAAATAAGATCGAGCCTATATTGTATTTTCAGCCGACTACACTTCCCACTAAGCATAGCGGCATTTTGTCCGAATACCGGAAGTGCCACACGTCACGTGCTTAATTTCATTTGCTGAATTTATGCTTTTAACACTTTTGTTTTTATTAGCAGAGTGTCTATACATTTTAGACTTTGCCCTCTATGTGGGCTTTTGTTTTCATGTTCCCTAATATATGGCAGTGCCTATATTGTATTCTCAGCCGCTATTCGCGGCTTACCGACTACATCTCCCATAAAGCATAGCGGCATTCAGTCCGAAAACCGGAAGTGCCGCGCGTCACCTGCGCATTTTTAATCATTCAATTTATGCTTTTAAAACCTTTGTTTTTGTTATCAAAACCAATTATGAGTGTCCTTACACCCTATATTTTGTTTTTATTGATGTATTTTAATGTTTTTATACTGCCAAATGTAACTTAATTTTGATTGGATGGATCAATTTTGGCGCCAAATTTAAACTATCTGAACTCCTATATAATACAATTAGCCAGGCAAAGTTTGTTATTCCATTTGATAAAGTCTGTTGACGAAACGCGTTATGGATATTTTATACTGTGTATTTTAATATTAAAGTAATTTTTGGTCATTTATTTGTGCCAACTATTCTTTTCTCTAGTTTTATATACACATTATTCTTCTCCTTTTTTAACCTGGCTTTTTAGTATATTTTAGTATATTTTTAGTATTTTACTATTATATACCAACATCTACTTCGGAAGTCTCCTGCATTCCAAGAAATCCTAAAGGTGGGGATCAATCCACCTATGCTGATACACAAGAGCAGTTGGTCTGCTCCTCATTTGTAAGTACGTTTTTATCTACTTATATTAAGACCACTAAAATAGTGAGCACTATCGGTTGTCTCTCTTTTTCCTTATTTGAGAGTTGGACACCACTGACGGAGAGAAACCAACAGCATATCCCATAAGCGGGGATCATACCGCCGTATGCGCTTCTATCCTAGAGCTGGACATAAGCTCTATTAAATGTGAGTTCTCAAATATTATCTTTCCATACGTCACCTTTGGAATTATACAATACTGCACTATTGGCCGTCCTTCTCTCTCCTTTTTTGTCTTCTATATGAGTGGAACCTATACAGCTTATGAAGACTTCACTGCTGCATCACTTGCTACCGTGTTTCTCCGAAAATAAGACCGGGTCTTATATTAATTTTAGCCACAAAAAACACACTAGGGCTTATTTTCAGGGTAGGGCTTAGAGCCAGTCTGTCAGCTGGTGTCTGCGCTGTGTAACCCCCCCAGAGACCCTCACCTCCCCCTCCCTGTAATATTCTCCACTCCCTCCCTCCCTCCCTGTAATACTATCCCCCCTCCCTCCCTGTAATACTCTCCCCTCCCTCCATGTAATACTCTCCCCCCTCCCTCCCTGTAATATTCTCCCCTCTCCCTGTAATACTCTCCCTCCCTCCTGTAATATTTCTCCCTCCCTCCCTGTATTAATCTCTCTCCCTCCCTGTAATATTCTCCCCTCTCTCTCCTCCCTGTAATATTCTCTCCTCCCTCCCTGTAATTTTCTCCCTCCTCCCTGTAATATTCTCCCCTCTCTCTCTCCCTGTAATATTCTCTCCCTTCTCCTCCCTGTAATATTCTCCCCTCCCTCCCTCCCTGTAATATTTCTCACCCTCCCTGTAATATTTCCTCTTCCCCTGTAATACTCTCCCCTCCCTCCTCCCCCTGTAATATTTCTCCCCTCCCTGTAATACTCTCCCCTCCTCCTCCCTGTAATATTCTCCCCCCATCCCTGTAATCCTTCCCCCCTCCCCCTCCAATCTTCTCCTCACCTGCTCTTCCCTGTAGCGTGGCCGAGCTCCTCTCCGGTCTGCAACCCGGCCGGACTGACAGGAAGTGCACACCCAGTGTGCACTTCCTGTCAGTCCGGCCGGGTCGCGGACCAGAGAGGAGCTCGGCCTTGCTACAGGGAAGGGGAGGTGAGGCAGTGCGGCAGCCGTCTGAGAGCTCTCTATAGAGCGCTCAGTCGGCTGTGGCATTTAAAGGGCCGGCAGCTGCCGGCCCTGCCTAGGTCTTATTTTCGGGGTAGGGTTTATATTGCAGCCCACCCCGATAATCCAGCTAGGGCTTATTTTCGGGGTAGGGTGTATTTTCGGGAAAACAGGGTATAAAGACTACCCGCAAGGACACATAAGTTGAACTTTTATTTTTGTATTTACGTTGGACATTTTTACTTGTAGTTACTCTATTTTATTCTCCTATTGGCGCAGCCTTTTTATTGTTGTTTTTATTGTTTACACGTACTCTGATGCTAATCATACCATGTGAATCACAGTTAATAGTTGAAAATAGGCTTGTAAGTTCAGATTTACTCAGAACCTCAATGAATCCAAATGCAATGAGCACCTACACTGATCAAATAATTAAAAGGGATGACTTTTAGTTTTTATCAGCTTGAGAGAGAACTAAGAATTAATACAATTTAAGGCATACTCCAGAAGCATTTCAGTGCTGAAGTACTTTGTGTGTGAAGAATCTGTCATTTTTTTTTTTTTTTCATTTTACAAAAAGTGCAGAATTCTATAGAAATAGAAACAGCATGGTAGGGTTTGCAAAGAATGCTTACATGCGATTTGTTGCTTTTCCAAGCTGTTTTTAGATATACGCCAAAGAAATATATTTTTAAGTGTAATTAAATACATGCATGTTTAATTTTGGATATATTTACTAAACTGTGATTTATATTATTTTTCTTTAGGGTGCGGGGAGGGGGAGTAGGGGAAGTGGAGTTTCCCTTTATCAATGTCAACAGCAGTGGCTAAGGCCAGTAAGGTATTATCATGCGTGAAAAAGGGCATTCATTCGCGGGATGAGAATATCATTTTGCCTCTTTATAAATCACTGGTAAGACCACATATTGAATATGCTGTGCAATTTTGGGCACCTGTTCTAAAGAAGGATATTATGGCACTAGAAAAAGTGCAGAGGCGGGCTACAAAATTAATAAAAGGAATGAAACATATCCGCTATGAAGAAAGGTTAACAAATTTAAACCTATTTAGGTTAGAAAAACGTCTACTGAGAGGGGATATGATAACATTATACAAATATATTCGGGGCCAATACAAACCATTATGTGGAAATCTATTCACAAACCGGACTTTACATAGGACACGAGGTCATGCGTTTAGACTGGAAGAAAGAAGATTTCGTCTAAGGCAAAGGAAAGGTTTTTTTACTGTAAGAACAATAAGGATGTGGAATTCTCTGCCTGAAGAAGTGGTTTTATCAGAGTCCAAACAGCTACTAGATGCATACTTGCAAAAACAGAATATTCAAGGATATAATTTTTTAATGTAGGGTAATAACTGATCCAAGGAAAAATCTGATTGCCATTCTGGGGTCAAAAAGGAATTTCTTTCCTAGTTTGTTGCAAAATTGGAAGTGCTTCAAACTGGGGTTTTTTTTGCCTTCTTTTGGATCAATGTGAGGAAGGCTGAACTTGATGGACGCAAGTCTCTTTTCAGCTATGTAACTATGTAACACAAATATTGCAAGAAATCTTTTTATGTATAAGTGAACCTGATGATATTCTATTTTTTTTATTCAAACATGTTGTTTACTTTATATAGTGAAGCCACAATAGAAAAATAATAAAAAGAAATAGAGACATATATTTTTATTGCAATTATCTTTTTTTTTGCCGTCTGTGCAAATTTACTATATTGTTTTGTTATAATGTACATGCACATTACATTTAATAGACTATGAGCTTCCAGGATGACTGCATGCACATAGCTCCCTGCTTTTCCCCAAATAAAATTTATAATTAAAAATGATGCATTTATATTAAAAAGTACAAGAATATATTTACAAAGTTGTTAACATTAAGAGTAGCCCTGTCCCTTTGAATGCCAGAGAGGGGTAGAGCAGTTTTCAATATAATAAATTGCACACCACGCTGGCACTCAAGGGGTGAAACCCAAGGAAGACTAACCTATTTAACTAAAAACTGTTAAAAACCATTTTTTTTTAAAACAAAATGTTATGTTATTTCACCCTTTGAAATCCATGTGGCGGCCCCGGCACTCAATGGGTTAAAAAAGACCAAAGGAGTACTTTCTAATAATATATTTCAAATGAAATAAACCATCTTGTAAACAACATTAAATTGGAGACCCTATGTATATTTACAATCTCAGTAGGAAATAAATTTCTGGTTCATCAATATTGCTTGGATCAGTCTGATAATTGAAACGATCTATACAAAAGGTATCATTATATCTATAGGTTTGAGAATTACATGCACCTTCTGGTATGCCTCTTCCTTCAAGCCTTTCATTATTAAGGTTGCTGTAGTAACTGGCTATATAAGATCCGGTTGAATGTCTGTTTACAGGCTGAGAAGAAGTAGGTGGTTTGTTTCGGAAAACAACTTCATTTAGATTAGAGGTGCTGTGTTTCATTTTATTGGCCTCCTGTCGTTCCTTGGCACGGTTAGCAATGTTCCTGACCCTGCTCTGACTTCTAGAAGACAGCTTCCGAGATAGAGGCTTAGGAATGTCCACTTCTTCATGTTCATGACACTGTGGCTTACTAAAGTCTTCTTGGTCAAAAGACATCAGTTTACGCAACTGTTCTGTCAATGCATCCGAGGATTGATGTCTACTTTTTGCCAGAGATGCATTTTCTTCTACAATGCCTGAAGACAGAAAACCTTTGTTAATTCTCTTGTATTTGCTCTCAAAATTACAGGAGATATCCTCTGATGTCAGATCTCCAAGACTCTTTGACTTGCATGAATTAGATTGCTTGTTTCTGTGGAGTGATAGAGGTTTGGAATTGTTAAATGTGGAACTGGAACTGGAGTTCTGTACAATTACTTTTTGAGGGACATATTGCAGATGGTGTTTGTGGTATAGAGATTCTTGATTTTGATGTGACTTACAAAACTCTTGCCGTTTAACGGTCATATGAGGATTACTAACTGTGTTATCAGTAGGTCTGTGGGCATCACTGTGTGTGTTATGATTTTGGAATAACTTCTTTGGATTTTTCTCTGTGTTCCATGTCTGGTTTAGACACAAATTAGTAGATTGCAACCGTATGTCTTTTTCTTGAGTGATACGAGGAATTGTTGGAATTTTCTGAAATCCATTATGTATGGAACTATTCTTACTGGTGTTTACATGTGTTCCTGTAGGGGTATTTTGAGTATAATTGCTATGAGTAAATGAATCCATGTTCACTAGCCCTTCAAAATGTGCTTGCTCAGTTTTTGTTGACTTTGGTTGTAATTCAGGATAGGTTGATACATATGGTGAGCTGCTGATGTTAGGTTCTGATTGTCTAACTTGATTGGCAACATTTGCATCCATCAATTTGCAATTGGCATCATGAGATAAGTCTTCTTCATGAATGATTGTATAGACTGAATATTCAGATGTCTCTGGGCTGGAGAATATCGTAGTGTCAGCTGTTGAGAATAAGGACTTTTCAACATTATTTAAACTTGAAACAAACTTTTTAGGTGTGTACAGGCAAGCTGTGAAAATGTCAGAATATCCACTAAACTTAGTGTGGCTATTTGGCTCATGTAAGCTTGAAACACAAGTCAAAGTAGTTTTGTCATCGGTGACTTCAAACTGCCTGATTAATTCAGACATTGAACTGCCAAGTTCACTCCGATCTACAGATGGTACTTCACTAATTATATTAGAAATATCATTTTCGGACATGGCTTCAGTGGAATGTAAATTATTGATGTCTGTGCACATGGTACTTGATAAATCATTAATAGAAACCGTTTCAAACTTCGTGTCATAATCTTTAACCATATTTTCTCTAGGAATGTTAAATGTGGAGCCGGTTTGTTTTAGGTGGTCATCGTTATCTTCTAATTCACTTGTAAAAGTATCATCAAACTCCCTGATATCATCACTTCGCAGCACACAGTCTAAATGTAAACTTTTCCATTTTTTATGTACAATGTGCTCATGTGTTGTGACTTTAGTCTGGCATGGGTTTTTAGAAGTACATGCAAAAAAAGGTGAAGTTTGATTTCCAGGTATTGATATGTCCACATCTTCAGTTAGCAGTTTCCCCGAGCCTCTAATGTCCATTCCTCCTATTATACCAAAACACAAAAAAACAAATCAAATACTCTGAATGTCTGGCAAATAAAAGACCATACTTTGTAATTTTGATTTCACACACACAAATGAAAAATGGAAATTTTGCTTAAGTGGCAGGAAAACACCGTTATGATTTTGTGCACAGTGTCAACAACTTTCAATATGAAATGAATTTATGACCAACGGCGATCACATGATCGACATTTCCTTTAAATGTCTATTACATCCAACATGTGATGTAATAACTGCTGAAAGTATGGGTAATATGATACCATACTGAATACATTCCATTACCTTATGTAGTTTCCTAGTCAGATCTGTACTATAAAACATAACAAGATATCTCTGTTAAAAAGACAATACAGTTCTTTTGCATAAAAATAATATGTAATGCAACAAGAAAACATGACCAATACATAAGACCAGTACATATCACACACACATGGGGAAAACCGGAGGGCTTGCAGCAGCTAAAGACATTTGATCAGCAGCTCTTAAAAGCCAACATCTCATATACACCTACAGAATACATACAAAACAAAGTATGGGCACATTTTGGGTTATATCTACTAAATTGTGTTTAGCTTTGGTTTTTTTTAATGGATCCCAATATCAACCTTATAGTTCAAGTGTCTTCTTCTTTACTCAGCAGTAATGCAACCACAAATAACTTTTTGTGAATAATTCTAATATTGCTAATAGAAACTCTACAGACCTTGATCTCTTATTATGTTTAGCCCTTATACTGGCTAACAAGTGAAAATTAGGAAAAGCAAGGGAAGGAAGAAAAACTGCTTAGGCTATTTCCATTCAGGGCAGTATTTTCATAAAGTACATACTACCAGTGCCAGGCATTTGCTTTAATATGAGGTTTTATGGATATGCATATATATAATGCCATATACTTATGTATGATTTATTTATATTAAATACACTACAATGTTCAGAAAAAGAAACCTTGTGATACCTAAAATTGTGAATAGGACTGTTCACTATCTCATTCTGAAGGTCAACCAAATGTCACTTTTCATTTTATTTCCTATGCAATACTATAATTGAAACGGCAGTGGTACATTCATCATAGTCAGAAACCCATTACGATAACAAATTGAACAATTTTTACAAAATAACTATTTGTTAAACTTAAGTGCTTAATATTAAAGGGGCACTATAGTCACCAAAACAACACAAGCTTAAAAGGACACTATAGTCACCATAACAACTACAGTTTAATGTAGTTTTTCTGGTGAGTATAGTCAGACTCTGCAGGCTTTTTACTGTGAGCACTGCCTTTTCAGAGAAAAGGAGGGGTTTACATTAGTGCCTAGGAACACCTCTAGTGGTAACTCCTCAGCACTGATGCTTAACTGTCCCAATAGAGATGCATTGATTCAATACATCTCTATGAGGAGATGCTAACTGGCCATGCTGGTGTTTGTCTCTGCCTCCTTGCCAATCTCTGCCAATCCAATGCTTTTCCTATGGCATCATTTGTGATGTTAGCCAAGGGGGCGGAACAGTGGCAGTGCCAGCATCCCCGTGCAACCATGGAAAAAAGGTTATTTTCTTAGCTTTTAAGGGGGACAATGGAGGGGCAAGCCACCTAAATGGATTTACTTACCTGAACTTGTTCCTCAGGGGCAACGCCATCTTCTTACAGCCTCTCCTCTTCCGTTCCTGGAGCATGAGCCCAAAGAGCCAACGTTCCTGCTGTACTCTCAGGCATGCACAAGAGTGCAGCATTGAGGTCTATGGAACATCATGCGAGACCGTGGGATCGTTCAAAGACACAGCTAATATCTCTGTAGCGGTCACTCGTAGTGGCTGGCAGTAGTCCCTACTTTGTCTCAGTATATGGTTTTACTGGGTTGTAATTTAATCAATAAAATAAATAAAATGTAATATTGAGTTTGTGGTGGAGGGAGGTGACAATGCCACTTTAAATCACTTTGTTTATACAGCCCTAATCGCATGTGACTTGCTCAGCCTTCCTTAACACTTCATGAAGAAACCTAGATATTTTATGTTCCTTTATTACACAGTCTGTTTAATCTAGAACGTCTAATCACTTGCTCTTTTAATAGCCTTATAGACCCTGCAGGAGCCTCATCTATGTGTTTAAAGTTCACTTTACAGAGCAGGAGATGAAAACTTATAAAAAAAAGGTTAACATTTGATTGAAAATGAAACCATTTGGTTCACGTAGGCTGTGTCAGAAACAGCCAGGGGAGGAGTAGCGAGGAGTGCATGAACAGAAACAAAAGTGATTTAACTCCTAAATGGAACAGTGAGACAGCCATGCTCTGTACACCCAAACTGCTTCATTAAGCTGAACCTGTTTTGATGCCTATAGCACCTCTTTAGGTTTCCATTACTCTTTAAAGCAATACATTTCCTCCGGTATTTTTGTAGTCTGCAATTCTTAACTCTCAGGCTACCCAGTCATATCACATAGTGTCAGGAAAAACATGGGGTAAACATCTAAGAACAGAGCATTCATTAAAACAGTCAACTGGTTCTGTCTGGTATTGCTCAGAACTTAGTCCCAAAATTAATGTTTTTTTCACAGCCCCCAATAAAACATGCATTATAGAATAATGTGTCATTAAAACAAATTTTCTGTGAAAACCTATGGCATAAGGGTTCTTGGTGAAACAGGGTAAATTTGCATTGAAAAAAAAAATAATGTCAAATTAGTTGAATTGGTTAATTTTTCCAACTCTTCTATTTTACATTTATCTAGTCACTCTTCAAGGCTTACAGTTTAACAGTTTACTGAAATATTACATTTGGGGCTTTTTTTAATTTTTATTAAACCTTCTACAATGTTCACACATAATACCATCCAGGATGAATTGTAAGCATTATTACCTGAAGATATGTCATGTTGTTTGGTATCTTTTGAAGTGTCTGATGTGGAAGGTTCAAAAGGTCCAAGAAGAAGCTTGTCAACTGGCATCGACACAGGGCGAGCCTGTAGGCTCCTGGAGGTTCTCCTTATTACGGCCTCTTTTTCTTTAGTGCCAGATATCTCACAACAAATGTCTTTACTCTCTGTAGATTCTTGAAACACCATCTTGGTTTTCTTTCTGCCTTTTGCTGGCGCACTGGCAGTGCGTCGTAAGATGCGCTCACTGATTGATCGTTTACGTATATGACCATTGCTCTCGACTGAGCCGTGTTTCGAATTCTTATTGAAGAACCCTTTAAGCCCAATAAATTGCCTGTTCTGTAAAAAGCATAATACAGAATTTTACAAGCCTGGTAGATATTTTTATAAACACAATATGTTTTATATTAATTATGGATGTAAGAAGGAAATACAAGAGCTACCTGGGCAAAGAATTGTGAATAAAAACTTGACCTAATGACAAACTCATGCATATATGAAGATCTTCAAGTCATTAAGTCATGACCATTATAACTCTGGCTTCATGCATTTCCTAATTGGTGGTGACACTGATCTACAAAATGCATGACAGTGACAGATTACAATGTGGAACTACAATAATAAACATATGGGATGTATGTGTCCACGCAGAGCTCAGAAATTCAAAGCTTGAGTGATGGGCAATGATATTTTGATGTCATGCTGTAGGTAATTGGCACTCAGATACAAAACCATGATGTCTACCTTTGTGGCTCCTAGAAAGTGCAATATAGTATAACTTGGATTGAGGATTAAAGGACTCCACTGAAATGGAAAGAAATTTAAATTTTTAGCATATTTATTCAACGTCGTGCCAATATACATCGTTATTAAAACAAATATGTGCAAAAAGAAAAAAAAACTAAGTTTGTACAGAAACATAAAATAATATACAATTGTAATTCACCAGAAAAGTAGTGTGTTCCTCTACGAAAAAATACCAAAAATAACTTGAAATATGTGGCAGTGCTTGTATGTGTGTTATTGTCTAAAAGGCAAAATAGTTAGTATTAAGAAAAATAAAGAAAGAAAAACAACACGGAGCTCCTCCATATTTCTTTTTGCTTTGCCTTCAGTAATTTTCACTACACTACGGCGTATGGTTGCTATGGATATGTATTTTCAGCTTGCGTCATTAGTCATGTTTACGTATGTCATCCCGCACGCTTACAGCATGACATCCTTACATCTATTAATACTATGTTATGCTGCAATGTATGTACCTTGATAAAGACCCATGAGGGTCAAAACGTTGATGTTCCTTACTTAAAAACATGGTTGGAAAACTCCAAGACAGTGCGCTCCTTATGGGAATTGTGAGATATATATACACTACACATATATAACAACTCCTCTCCAATTTTTGTGTACTTGTTTAATGGCTACAAAGAACTACCTTTGTTGGAACAGTTGTGTTTTTGTTTATAATGCAAAGGAAGAGAATGGTAGACATTTCTTTGTGTTATTTAGATGTTCTTGGATCCTCACAGTAACTTTTCTTATTATATGTAATTCAGACCACAAGAACAAATAAAATATATATATTATGTTCTTACTATGACGAAGTACTCTTGGCCACAATAGCAAAAAAATGTAAAATGTCATTACTAATAAAGGAAACACTCCTCAACCTTTTGTTTCTTGATCCTACATTGAAGTAGTTTTCTGTTTTTATGAATACAATGAATAAATAGGAAATTAGGATATATGAACTGGATACTTTGATTCATGGGGGACTCAATTTAGATATTGAGTTATATAATTTATTTCATAATTACATATTTTATAATTTATATTTGATTTTTCGAATTCACACATTTGACACAGAGAGACATTCGGTGCAAACACTTATGTGTTCCAAATAAACTCAGTACATTAAATCACATCTGACACTGACAAATGTTTTATGATGAGATTGAGGCTTGGATTTGGGTTCCATAGAAGGATCCATATTGCAATAAAGCAACGCGTGATCAGAACAATGATGACAAGATCGGGACTGGAGGTCAGGTGACAAGGAAGGGAGCTAAAGGAAATCAAGCAGGCTCTTGAGAAAACACTAACCTCCTCACTTCTGTAACGAATTACCATAATGAAGCACCAAAGCGGATTGGATTATAGTTAATGAATGTATGTATTTATATGTGCTGATTTTATTGTGACACTGAGGAAGCCTCATTGTCAAGAGGTTAAACATTTATATGGCTTTGTTATATTAAGAAAGTTTTGGAGCGTGTGACCTGTGCCACACCCTTTGTATCCAGGAGGCGTTTTCACTTTGTGCCAACCATTTACAGCCATTAAGCACTTTCCAGCTGATCCCCTTGTCTTGTTCAGAATCATGTGAGTTTGAGTCCCAGTCTTACCATATTTATTACATATAAAGGTTGCACTATTGTGGTTTTGTTTTTTGTTTTCTTTTCCTGTGCTTAATATTGGAATACCCTGGAGGACAGCTTGTTGCCACTAATAGATTCTTTAGGTTGCTGCCTGACCCTATAATGTCTCACATGCGCATACACTGAGTGTCTAGTTTTACTGGCTCCTTACTTTTGAGTGTAAATAACTGATATTTTTCACACACTGAATTTAGTAATAGTGTTTTTTTTAATAGCATACATAGTTATTAAGCAAATGGTTTAATGTCAATTTTCTTTCACATATTTTAAATTTCTTGGCATAAATTTTAGTTCTTGCTGCATAACAGTTGTTCAAATGTTATTTTTCAGTAATACTTAATCTCATGGATAAATGCTTTAAAATCAATGTGTGTGTGTGTGTGTATGTATAATATACACACATACATACACACACACACACACACACACTGCTCAAAAAAATAAAGGGAACACTTAAACAACACAATGTAACTCCAAGTCAATCCCACTTCTGTGAAATCAAACTGTCCACTTAGGAAGCAACACTGAGTGACAATTTCACATGCTGTTGAGCAAATGGGATAGACAACAGGTGGAAATTATAGTCAATTAGCAAGACACCCCCAATAAAGGAGTGGTTCTGCAGGTGGTGACCACTTCTCAGTTCCTGTGCTTCCTGGCTGATGTTTTGAATGCCGGCGGTGCTTTCACTCTAGTGGTAGCATGAGACGGAGTCTACAACCCACACAAGTGGCTCAGGTAGTGCAGCTCATCCATGATAGCACATCAATGTGAGCTGTGGCAAGAAGGTTTGCTGTGTCTGTCAGCGCAGTGTCCAGAGCATGGAGGCGCTACCAGGAGACAGGCCAGTACATCAGGAGATGTGGAGGAGGCCGAAGGAGGGAAACAACCCAGCAGCAGGACCGCTACCTCCGCCTTTGTGCAAGGAAGAACAGGAGGAGCACTGCCAGAGCCCTGCAAAATGACCTCCAGCAGGCCACAAATGTGCATGTGTCTGCTCAAACGGTCAGAAACAGACTCCATGAAGGTAGTATGAGGGTCTGACATCCACAGGTGGGGGTTGTGCTTACAGCCCAACACCGTGCAGGACGTTTGGAATTTGCCAGAGAACACCAAGATTGGCAAATTCGCCACTGGCGCCCTGTGCACTTCAGAGATGAAAGCAGGTTCACACTGAGCACATGTGACAGATGTGACAGAGTCTGGAGATGCCGTGGAGAACGTTCTGCTGCCTGCAACATCCTCCAGCATGACCGGTTAGGCAGTGGGTCAGTAATGGTGTGGGGTGGCATTTCTTTGGGGGGCCACACAGCCCTCCATGTGCTCGCCAGATGTAGCCTGACTGCCATTAGGTACCGAGATGAGATCCTCATACCCCTTGTGAGACCATATGCTGGTGCGGTTGGCCCTAGGTTCCTCCTAATGCAAGACAATGCTAGACCTCATGTGGCTGGAGTGTGTCAGCAGTTCCTGCAAGACGAAGGCATTGATGCTATGGACTGGCCCGTCCATTCCCCAGACCTGAATCCAATTGAGCACACCTGGGACATCATGTGTCGCTCCATCCACCAACGTCACGTTGCACCACAGACTGTCCAGGAGTTGGAAGATGCTTTAGTCCAGGTCTGGGAGGAGATCACTCAGGAGACCATCCGCCACCTCATCAGGAGCATGCACAAGCGTTGTAGGGAGATCATACAGGCACATGGAGGCCACACACACTACTGAGCCTCATTTTGACTTGTTTTAAGGACATTACATCAAAGTTGGACCAGCCTGTAGTGTGTTTTTCCACTTTAATTTTGAGTTTGACTCCAAATCCAGAACTCCATGGGTTGAAAAATTTGATTTCCATTTTTTTTATTTTTGTGTGATTTTGTTGTCAGCACATTCAACTATGTAAAGAACAAAGTATTTCAGAAGAATATTTAATTCATTCAGATCTAGGATGTGTTATTTTTGTGTTCCCTTTATTTTTTTGAGCAATATATATATATACACACACACACACACACAGTTCTCTATCCCCTGTTATCTTTACCTAAAACACCACTATTTGCTGATGTATGCAATCAATATTTTCAGAATAACCTCATACTTTGGAAAATAAAAATTAACCAGTAAGCTCAATCAACACAATGTTAATTACAGAAACGATTAACACAGCAATGTTTTTAACAAGTCCTTTGTATTAAACGTCATAGTGCCAGCCAGTAAGATTGTCCCAGTTAATATTGGATGATAAAATAAAGAAACACACAAACAATATATATATATATACAGTTGCAAAAAAAGTATGTGAACCCTTTGGAATGATATGGATATCTGCACAAATTGGTCATAAAATTTGATCTGATCATCATCTAAGTCACAACAACAGACAATCACAGTCTGCTTAAACTAATAACACACAAAGAATGAAATGTTGCCATGTTTTTATTGAACACACCATGTAAACATTCACAGTGCAGGTGGAAAAAATATGTGAACCCCTAGACTAATGACATCTCCAAGAGCTAATTGGAGTGAGATGTCAGCCAACTGGAGTCCAATCAATGAGATGAGATTGGAGGTGTTGGTTACAGCTGTACTGCCCTATAAAAAACACACACCAGTTCTGGGTTTGCTTTTCACAAGAAGCATTGCCTGATGTGAATGATGCCTCGCACAAAAGAGCTCTGAGAAGACCTACGATTATAAAGCTGGAAAGGGTTATAAAAGTATCTCTAAAAGCCTGGACGGACTACTATCATCAAAGGAAATATGAATTCCCAAGTTTATCAAGACATTTTGCAGGAGAACTTAAGGCCATCTGTCTACCAGCTGAAGCTCAACAGAAGATGGGTGTTGCAACAGTGACCCAAAGCATAGAAGTAAATCAACAACAGAATGGCTTAAACAGAAGAAAATACGCCTTCTGAAGTGGCCCAGTCAGAGTCCTGACCTCAACCCGATTGAGATGCTGTGGCATAACCTCAAGAAAGCGATTCACACCAGACATCCCAAGAATATTGCTGAACTGAAACAGTTCTGTAAAGAGGAATGGTCAAGAATTACTCCTGACCGTTGTGCACGTCTGATCTGCAACTACAGGAAACGCTTGGTTGAAGTTATTGCTGCCAAAGGAGGTTCAACCAGTTATTAAATCCAAGGGTTCACATACTTTTTCCACCTGCACTGTGAATGTTTACATGGTGTGTTCAATAAAAACATGGCAACATTTCATTCTTTGTGTGTTATTAGTTTAAGCAGACTGTGATTGTCTATTGTGACTTAGATGATGATCAGATCACATTTTATGACCAATTTGTGCAGAAATCCATATCATTCTAAAGGGTTCACATACTTTTTCTTGCAACTGTATATATATATATGTGTATATATATATATACACGCACACACACACACAAATATATATACACACATATACAAGTACACATGAGATAACTTGAATTTGCATAATAAATCTGTGGCACCTAAAAGAAAGACTTGTGGATTTAATATGACCAGCTGAAACTAGCAGTACTATATTATTTTTAGAAACATAGAATGTGACGGCAGATAAGAACCTTCGACCAATCTAGCCTGCTCACGCATGCTTAAACTCCCTCACTATGTTAAGCTCTACCATTTCAGCTGAAAGGCTATTCCATGCATCCACTACGCTCTCAGTAAAGTACTATCCTCTCATCTATAAACCACTGAATGTAAATATTTGCAATGCCTATACTTGACATACACAGATAAAAAAAAGGATTAAAGAGACACTAAGTGCCACAGCCACTACAATATTATTGTAATGGTTGTGGTGATTTGATGAAATAAGTCTTTAGGGGCACCCTAAATATTTAACAACAAAAAAATTATTAAAATAAAATTTGAGCAGTTTGACAACACAAAACTGACACACAAAAAAAACAAAAACAGAACATGGTGGTACTAAAAACAGTCTATTTGCTGCTACACAGGGAATCCCATTTGCATTATCCTTCCAAAGCGGTCTTCTTGCAACATAACCACTATCTTGTGGATAGAGCTTAGTGTATGCCCTTGCGGTGCCCAAACATTCCTCTGCCCCGTAAGAAAAACTAACCACCTATAAAAATAGGCTGGCACATATCTATCTATATTGTGATACATACTCGCATTGTTCGACTTGAAGCTGAATTGTGCATATATCATGCCTAACAATATGACTGTGAAACATTGCAAAACAGAAATGTTTACTTACTTTGCCATATATTTCATTGATTGTGATATGGACAAATATAGAAGCTTCAGTGAGACCTTCCAAGTAGACGTGGCGATACCCTATTAGAATGGAAGACAGGCTTTAGCAAGGCACATAAATGGAATTCAGCTGGCTATTCATGAATATGATGTTGAGTTAGACAAAGAGATATTAATACAAAAATAAAGCCAATTAATTAAAACTGGTAGAGAGGGTGCTTACCAGGCATAAGACTGCTAAAAGCCACAGTTCTTTGGCCTACAAAATCCCGTCCAATTGGATCATGGTCCCAAACCAAAAACCGCACCAACGCAATTTCTGGCATATGAACGGTAAAGGTGAGAGTTTCCTCCCACACAGGATTGAAACCTGAAAAAGGCCAGCAAATATATATTGAGAACAAAAGAACATCTTTAAATGTATTTCTCATGACACTCTGAACATAGAAATTGCTCATCAATGCTCAATTTCCTTAAATAAACATGCTACTTGCCCATGGCTTGCAGAATACAGTATGCATAGGCTACAGAAATAACTGTGCAAGCTACAGTACACCGGTCAATAACCAGCCATTGTATACATTGACATAAATTATTTAAAAAAATGTTTTTGCAATACTCAGAATGGTTTGAATATAAATAGTCCTTGCCAAGTGCTACACCAGACCAGAGTCTCATTTTTGTTACAGATTACTAAGAAATATGAAAGCTTTATTTACTACTATATCTTGTAAATTTGCTTCATAGAAACGTTAATTTTTAATTTCCCTTCCTATATGGCAATGAAGTGGCCTAATGTGAGAAGATGAAAATATGACGATTAGGAGATAAGATTGACCAGGGAAATGTATGTTCTTGTTAATTCAGCTCACTTTCTAGTGTATCATTATCTGTGTAAAAATCCAACTATTGGTATGACAGATCTGGTCTAATTCATTCCATTGCAACTGCTGTAATGAATAGCAAGACATGATTACTGCATGACTGCAGGTGGACAAGCTGTAATTTGGAAATCCAATATGGAATGGGCTGCTGTAATGAGCTCCGAAGTCGGGAATATATGGTTGAAAAAACATGCGGAGGAGTTAGAAGAAATGCTATTACAGATAAAAGTAATTTCTAATAATGCACTTCTTTTGTGTTCTATTAAAATGTTGCATTTTGGAAACTTGTACATGCTTTCACTATATCTTGTTAGTAGATTAATAGAACAAAACATTGCTTAAATTAAAATGCCTGGATTTCAGGTCACATTAAACCTTTACAAAATTACTCTTTTGTTAAAACATGAATCTCCTTTTGCTGAAAATTACATATATTATCTTGTTAATTTTAATTAGTAGAAAGTCAGCATCCTGTGTCTAATGTTTTCATCCCCAAATTACACCTAGTACTGTTTTATATTAATGTGGAAGAAAGTGAATTAGTAGATGATTGTTAAAGGGGCACTCCAAACAAAGTGGTGCAGTGGTTATGTTTCTGATAGTCACCAGACCCTTTTCAAAAGAAAAAAAGAAAACAGACTCTCCCTGATTCCTAGAGACTGCCCCTCCTCATCCGCACTGATAATCAATGAAAATGTTATCCAACCAAGGACAGCTGTGATTGGCTGAAGGTGCTGGGGAGTGGGCCATGAGATTCTAAACTGTTTGATTTAAAACCATAGGATGTCACTCAGATACTGAAATGATTGTGTTGTCTAAACTTTAGACAACACAGTCATTTCAGTATCTGAGTGACATCCTTTTTCTCTCTTTATAGGACTCTAATGGGTCCCATAAAAAACACACACACACACACACACACACACACACATTAGTATGTATTTGAAATATGTTCATTTGGCAAATTTGCATAGTTGCAATCTTTCACATTTGGTTCCAATATGCCATTGTTCTAAAACACTGTTTGGTCATATTGTGCTTGCACAGCATCTGAATTAAATGTGTTCTAGAACAGAGATGTTAAACAAGGTGAACATATTCACGTTGAAGGCTAGAGTGCAGTGAGAATTTGTAGAAACTTCACACTTCCCACTGCTGGGATGAAGGCTGGAGTACACTGCACTGCGTAGCATTACTGACAGTCATAAGCTTCAGAGGGGAGAGGGAGTAAGGGAACCATGTACCAGTGCATCCTTGGTGCATAGCGATGGAGTGACATAATTTAGCATTTCCCCACTCACTTCTCACTGTATTTCTGTCCCCTCTTGGTGTGCATTGTATGGCACTATGATATGAGCCATGTCATAAGGCAGAATTTCTTAAAATCCTCCCACATCCCGATATGTAGGAATAGAGAGTAAAAACTAAGTGAGCTAATGCTACTTACCCACTCATCTTCCACTAAACTACCAGGGGATGAAGGGATGAGCCACAACAAAAGGTAGCAAAGAGCCCCTTTCTTTGCTACCTTTTGTTGTGGCTCATCCCTTCATCCCCTGGTAGTTTAGTGGAAGAATAAACCATTTTGAACACAGAGAATTATAAAAATGGTTAGGTTAAAAATAAAGATGGTGGCTAAAAGGTAAGGGGGGACTAACATAAAGTGATCTCAGACAAAAGACATGATACAAAGGAGAATGCAGAGATATGAGGAGAAAGATGAAGTGACTCCAAAACAGAAGTAGGCAAACATAATATGAGATGGGTGAGAAAAAACATGCAGACCAGTGAAACGCCAAAGGAAGCCTGAGAGAGAGTGGTATAATTGTGGGTTTGAGATTGAAACATAAAACACAGACTTTAGAGAGAGCTGAAAGAGATAAATGGGAAAGAGAGAAACAAAGATAAAGAGGTGGAAATGTTAAGTGATAAAGTACAAAAATGGACTAAGAGAGATAAAGGGATAAAATATAGAACGATGCAGAGAAAAACAGAAAAAGATATAGGCAGGCAGGCAGAGAGATACATGCAATGTTGAAAAGCTGATAACAAAGAAAAGAAGGATAACATGGAAAACAATAAGAGAGACACTCAGAGATGAAATCGACCATAACAGAGAAAGAATCAGAGATAGAATGTTTAAATTATATAAAATTATGTACTATAAAAACACATATGTATAAATGATTTTGCTCGCCATTCACATGATGATCAAAGACTCAGCCTACCACATCAAGTTAACACAGTTCTAGATTGGAGTTTTCAATTAATTGTAATTTATGGTAAATAAAATCACTGGGCACAAATGTAAATCTCTAGACATATAAAAAAATTTTAAAATTGTCAACTTTAACAGTTAACAACAAGCATTAAAAAAGTTAATTTGTAACAAAAGTCCCAAAAAGGTCATAGTAGAGATAACAAACTATGTATTAGTATTACCTAATAAAGCTGAAATTAACTAAACTTTGTAAAAATGTCATTATGTAGGGATTGTGTTGATTAACACAGATAGCAACTAACCATTGTCATCAACAACTCGTGTTTGTTCCTTACAGCAATCCACAGGCAGTCCAATGATTTCCACTTCCACAAAAGGGTCAATAATCTGTCATTGAAGAAATGGCTTCAATTTATCAAAGCACTTAACTGAAACAAACTAGAATATCATGAAGGCAACGTATGGTGAATCAAGGAAGACTGAGACATACATAATTTGGAATACATACGAATGAGATAAAAACGAGAAAGCGATTTTTTAACACTGTGAACAGGAATCAATTTTTCTCATTGTGCCATTTTTCAACATAACACGGTCCAACAAGTTTTAGTCTGTATTTATTTCTAATTGTTTTCTTTTATTAACTAAAATGAACTATGTTTACTCAATTCAATTTTTTTTATAAATTAATCAGAGAACAAACAAATGGAATGTAACGCAGTGTACAATTATTTACATTTTAGCTATTTGTTGCTTCTTTCATAGGCAAAGTAAAGACAAAGTAAAAAGAAAAGTGGCCCTGGATAAATTAACATGTATGGTTTAAGATATGCTTGGTTATATAGGGTATTAGCAGTAGAAAGAGGGAAGTGCTCATGCCATTGTACAGAACACTGGTGAGACCTCACTTGGAGTATTGTACACAGTACTGGAGACCGTATCTTCAGAAGGATATTGATACCTTAGAGAGAGTTCAGAGAAGGACTACTAAACTGGTTCATGGATTGCGGGATAAAACTTACCAGGAAAGGTTAAAGGATCTTAACATGTATAGCTTGGAGGAAAGACGAGACGGGGGGATATGATAGAAACATTTAAATACATAAATTTAATCAACACAGAAAAGAACTTTATTTAAAAGAAGAAAAACTACCACAACAAAAGGACATAGTCTTAAATTAGAGGGACAAGTGTTTAAAAATAATTTATTGAAGTATTATTTGACAGAGAGGGTAGTGGACACATGAAATAGCCTTCCAGCTGAAGTGGTAGAGGTTAACACAGCGAGGGGGTTTAAGCATGCGTGGGATAGACATAAGGCCAGGGACTAATGAAAGTATTTAGAAAATTGGGAAGACTAGATGGGCCAAACGGTTCTTAACTGCCGTCACATTTTTTATTTATATATAATTACTTGCTTTGCTGAGCAGCTCCAAGCAAGCTGTCCAGGTCTATGACAGTCACTGACTGCAACCTACTGTGAGTTACTAGTTTTTATTTGGAATATAAAAGGGGACCCCTTACAGATTACATTGATCATATGTGCAAAACTGTATTCTAATGGTTAAACCAGCCACTACATAGTATATACCTATGAACAACTCATAATGCATCATGCACAAATTTCTTCAAGTATTTTTTTAAGTGATATTTCTAATATTTGATTCATTGTACATTGATCAATATTGCATTTCTTATTGTATATATTTTAATATATTTTTATTATAGTCGGTTACATTTGTTGCCTTTAATATCTAATTATCACATAGCAATAGAGCTTTGAAGGTTGTTGTTTTTTTTAACTTATTTTGTTTTCTGGATCGTTATTATACTGAATGTTGCAGAAGTTTAGCTATGCATTGGATACATGTCTATTTTTTATTCTATAATCTGTAAAGAGTGTTTTATTGCAGAGAGCCTTTCTTTCCACGCAATATTACCTCTCCTCTGTCCCCAAGCATTGAATCTGGAGGTTTTGGGAGCTGCTGACCACTGACTACTTTCAGTATAAGCTGCTTTTTAGGGCTGGCAGGAAGAGGGTCACCAGAAAATGGATTAAACACACCTATTATAAAATGAAAACAAAAAATTGTAATATGTTAGCAATCCAAAAAAAAAAAGATAATTAAGATTAATGAACAAACTGAATATTGTTTTGTAACAAAATAAATCAAGCACCGTATTCATCCTTAATCAAGAACATTGCCAAACAATTTTCATATTAAGGAAGAATACATAATAATTAGACATGCATTAGACATCACATCCTGTCAAATAAAGATTGAAAAACAAATCACTTCAATACAACATAGAATAATATATTTTATCAATCATATTCATCCTCTCAATGTCATTCTTTCAAGATATTTAGATTCTAATTTCCCAACAATTAGATTTCTGTTTAACTGTCATGATACAAATTATATTAAAAACACATTAATATAAGTAAGGTTTTGTCCTTGACAAAAAAATGGGCATATTGACTGGTGTGTACATCTTGTTAGAGGACATTACACGGGACAGAGAGGTCACTTTCCAGATAAATATTGGTTTATGAAAATGTCATATTACCAACTAATAGTGCTGTGCCCTCTAAAGTTATTTTAATTAACTGTTGTAGTATGATTAGTGCAGAAATGAAAGCATATATATTTCTATGCATTTCATTAAGCCACATAGTCAAATAAAAAATAGAACCTAAAAATGTTTTGCTCTGCATCAAATGCTAATCACTAAAATCATTATTGAATGAAACCTGTAATTCATTAACAGAGAAGTAAAAGTCAACACATGCAATTGAAGTTTATATTCTCATCCTGGAATCATTTGATTCTGATCCAGGTAGAACCCTCAACACTTCATAACCGGCAGGGCCGGAGCAATGATTTCTGCCGCCCTAGGCAAAGATCCATTTTGCCGCCCCCTCATGTCACTCACTCACTGACAGACACACACTGGCAGACACACACATTCACTGACAGACAGACATACAGAAACTCACTGACAGACATACGCTCACTCACTGACGTGCACACACAGAAACTCAAAGACAGACACTTAATGAAAGACACACACTAACACTAACACACACACACTCACTCACTGACATACATACACTCACTCAGAGACACACACACACAGACACTCATTGGCAGACAGACACACGCACACACACACTCACACTCACTCACTGACAGACACACACACAGACACTCACTGACAGACACACACACACACACAGACACTCACTGACATACACACAGGGACGTATAAGCCGCGAGGCAAACAAGGCATTTGCCTTGGGCGGCATTTTTCAGGGGGCGGCAAAAAACGCCGCCCCCCAAATGCCCAGGGCAGATGCCTTGTTAGCCTCGCGGCTAACTGACATCCCGAGCGGGCGGGCGGCGCTGGCAGGCGGGCGGCCGGCGAGGGAGCACTTCCCATGAGCTGACTGCTTAGCTCCCTCGCGCGCCGCAGAGTGAGGCTGGGAGCCGGAAGATGACGTCATCTTCCGGTTCCCAGCCTCACTCTGCAGCCGACGCGCGAGGGAGCTAAGCAGTCAGCTCATGGGAAGTGCTCCCTCGCCGTCACGCCGCCAGCTGTGCTGCCCACTCTGCAGCCACTGGACCACTAGAGACTTCCAGCACTCCTGCAAAGGTGTAAGGAGGTTGGGGGATTTAAATTGAAAAAGTTAATGTGTGTGTTTCTTGTGTCTGACTGTGTGTGTGTTTGTGAGTGTGTGTGTATGTGTCTGACTGTGTGTGTGTGTATGTGACTGTGTGTGTGTGTGTGTCTGTGTGTGTTTGTGTCTGACTGTGTGTGTCTGACTGTGTGTGTGTGTTTGTAGTTCGATCGTGTATGTGTGTGTGTGTCTGACTGTGTGTGTGTGTGTCTGACTGTGTATGTGTGTGTGTTTCTGTGTCTGTCTGTTTGTGCCTGTGTATGTGTCTGACTGTGTGTGTGTGTTTGTGTATGTGTGTCTGACTGTGTGTGTGTGTGTTTCTGTGTCTGACTGCTTGCAGTTCGTGTATGTAGTCTGACTGTGTGTGTGTTTGTGTATGTGTCTTGACTGTGTGTGTGTGTGTTTGTGTCTGACTGTTTGTGTCTGTGTATGTGTCTGACTGTGTGTGTGTGTAGCGTGGACTGTGTGTGTCTGTGTGTGTCTGTGTGTGTTTGTGTGTGTGTTTGTGTCTGACTGTGTGTGTGTGTTTGTGTCTGACTGTGTGTGTGTGTGCCCGACTTCGTGTGTGTGTTTGTGAGTGTGTGTGTATGTGTCTGACTGTGTGTGTGTATGTGACTGTGTGTGTGTGTGTCTGTGTGTGTTTGTGTCTGACTGTGTGTGTCTGACTGTGTGTGTGTGTTTCTGTGTCTGACTGTGTATGTGTGTGTGTGTCTGACTGTGTGTGTGTGTGTGTCTGTGTATGTGTGTGTGTTTCTTGTGTCTGTCTGTTTGTGTCTGTGTGTCTGACTGTGTGTGTGTGTTTGTGTATGTGTCTGACTGTGTGTGTGTGTGTGTTTGTGTCTGACTGCTGCCCGTGTATGTGTCTGACTGTGTGTGTGTGTATGTGACTGTGTGTGTCTGTGTGTCTGTGTGTGTTTGTGTCTGACTGTGTGTGTCTGACTGTGTGTGTGTTTGTGTCTGACTGTGTATGTGTGTGTGTCTGACTGTGTGTGTGTGTGTCTGACTGTGTATGTGTGTGTGTTTGTGTCTGACTGTTTGTGTCTGTGTATGTGTCTGACTGTGTGTGTGTGTGTGTGTTTGTGTATGTGTCTGACTGTGTGTGTATGTGTATGTGTCTGACTGTGTGTGTATGTGTTTGTGTCTGACTGTGTGTGTATGTGTTTGTGTCTGACTGTGTGTGTGTTTGTGTATGTGTCTGACTGTGTGTGTATTTAGAAGGTGGGGCGGGGGGAAGGGTTGGGTGGGGGTGGCGCGGGGGGGAGGGGGGCGCCTGAGTTTTGTCCTGCCTAGGGCAGCACAAAAACAGGATACACCACTGCATACACACACTCACACACTGACAGACACACACACACACACACTCACTGACACACACACACACTCCCTAATAGTCAAACACTCACCTTCCTGGGGTCCAGTGTGGGGCAGCTCCTCACTCCTCCTGCCCGCTGTTTAGTATGCAGGGGCCGGAATGACGTCATTTACCGGCTTCACAGAGGGCACGCAAAGTAGGAGTGAGAGGCTGAAAGAATAGCCTCGCTCCCTGCCTGGCTTCTCCTTCCCCGTCTCCTCCAGATGGTCACTGGCATTTGTTGGCAGAGAAGGCTCCTGCCATCAAGGTAAGCAGGTGCCTGCTCTGCCTTACCTAGCACAGCTTCGGGGGCGCCCCCTTCTGGCCGCCCTGTAACATGGCTCCTCTCTGCACCCCCACCTTCGGGGTTTGAGAGGTTTGCCTTGACGTGGCAAGTGGGCAAAACACTCTCATGGCCATTGGAGAAGCTAAATAACCTCCATTTGTTTAAATATGCATAGGGATTAAGGAGAGAGCGCAGGTAACTTTTTTCTTTGGGTTTTACTGTATGTATTGGGGCTGATGTTGATTTAGATCAAAGCAAACTTTGATTAATTGTCTATCTACTCCTTCCAAATTGATTAATTAATGCGTGCACGCTCTTCCTAGAAGTAATTCACACCGGAGACAAAGTTTCTGATTAGTGAAAAACCTGAGGAATGCTTTATTCCCCGGAGTGGGAGCCCCTTTTAAAGCAGAAATACATCATGTACATAGTCACAGTTAACATACAGTATTCATTCAACAATTGAAACAGTCTAAGGGATCTTGTCTAAACCCACCCTACAGGATGTAATGTCATCATTACAGAGTTCTCCCACCCACATTCCAGCTCCATCTTGGTTACATGATGGGAGGGGGAGTGAGTAGTTACTGAACAGAGAGGGGCTGAAGGGGAAACAGTTACTTTAACAGCGATTCTCCATTTTGTTACACGTGGCACATAGCTGTTAACTTGCACAAAGGAAGTGGGGGAGGAGTTAGTAAAGGAAGCTGTTCTTTTAACACAGGAATTTGGTACACGAGGCTTGCTCGATGGGAAGGGGGGAGGGTAGCCGGATGGGAGGAATTTACAGAGGAAATAATTACTGAGCACACGTGTAAGAAATTATGACCCTCTTACAAGGATATTCTTTTAGGGAATGTGTGACAAATAAGACATAAATACAAGTGTATAATAGTAAAAAAGTCATTTTAGCATTTCAAGTATTTTGTCCAAAACAATGTGTACTATGGAGATATGAGAATGGGTCTGTTTAATAATTAAGTCATATGTGCTTGTATAGTAGTATGAGATATTAAAGTATTTTATACATAGGCCTACATTTCAAATCTCAAAATTATTCAAAACAGAAATGCATTTGTAAATAATGTCTTACACAAGTAATAATAACTCATTGGCGCCCATGTGCCATGCTTTCAGTGTTTTAAGGATGTTGGTGGTTTATTTCCCTATGACTGTTTGTTTATACTTTTTGGAAAATCTTGTTGGTAAAAAAAAAAAAAAATGTTGAACATGCCCACCAACAAAACGAGAAATTAGGTGTAAGGTGTAGTAATAAAAATAAAGTACTATCTGGCTAATGCATGCAAATAACACCAACATGACATGCAGTCATTATCCTGTTAGGATGCAAATAAATCATTGGCAATCTACTGTTTATAGACTGGGGATATATTATCATATGCTCCAGTGTTAGGCCCTGCACACCCACTAGCCATGCCTAATATGCTCTTAGCTACAACTCTGAAACAAAACACAAATATCTAGAATAAAAACATTATCCATGCTCTGACCCCATGTAAATAGTGTGGAAAGTCACTGGTTGTTGGGGGGGTGGAATCTAGGGATCATTGGGCCCACTCCTCTGACTTCCTGTTCAGCTGCTACTGCACTGCAGAGTCCAGTGAATACAGAAAATTGCTCCATATCTGCAGCGAGCTTTGCGGCCTGCCGGCACCCGTTGCCATGGTGCCTTGTGCGACTCCACAGGTTGCACACCACAAAGGCTAGCCCTGCCTATTTTCCCAAAGAGATGCTGACTGATCAATGAGAAAACCATCCCTCCAAGAGAAGAAGCTAATTGGAGGGTGGCTGAGGATGATAGTGGCTTCAGTGATGTCAGAAACATTAAAAAAAAACATATACGGGTCAGTAAATGTTTAGTATTAAGTAGAATACCTTGATATGCTATTGTAAACTTTGCTATGTAAAGAACATAGTACAAACAACAAGAACAAAACGGTCAACAACCTAGTATTGCATTAAATAAATACTTCACAGAACCAGAATATGACACTAACATTTTCATACATTTCTAACACAAATGTCAGGCGTGAAGGCAAGAAATACCTTTGCACATCTGTTGAGGTTTAAGGACATATCCACAGTTTCCATTAACCTTGAATTTTGCACGATTTAGCTCCATCATGCGCCCCTCTGTCTGATAGTTTAATGCCACTGCAAATATAGAGAAAACAGAAAGAAACAAGTGTTATCCCTGGAGGCCTTGCAAACTCCACAATTACATTCAGGACATGTGGCTTACTATCTCCTGTTCCATCCTTAGTGGTTTGGGAGAAACAGAGACGTTTTTAATTACTCACTAATGGTGTAACGTAGGCAGACAGATATAGGCAGGGGAGCTCCTGAAAAATATGTATGCATGGGGTCTCACTAGCTAATTATAAATCTAGATGCATCTGTATAGCAAATGCATCATTATACATTTATGTTATTATGCATTTTCCTAGCAGACTGAAGTCATAGAGGAAGAACAGATAATGCTCCCAAATAATGGTCAGCCCAGTTTGCCTAACTTCAACATCTATAAGTCTACATTAATTGTATCGGATTTTAGAGGTCTATAGAGATCTACATTGCTTTAGTTTTAAAAACCATATTACACACTTTCTGAGTTTACAATAACCTCTACTTAAAATAAGGCCCATATTTTAATATATTTGTAATACTTACCCAACTGAATACCTGCGTTCCAATAGGGCACAGGATTAAAATTACTGGAATCTATCCTATATGCAGATGGATAAATCCTGGTAAGTTGTTTCTGGTTGTATAACATAAACTGTTCTGATCTCTGTTGAACCACCTGATGTGCTCTGGTTTCACTAAAGGATAACACGTTCCCTGTAGACCCTGAAAAGAAGTATCAGAAAAGGGCATTCAAAAAAGAAGGGGCTACAGCAAAATTTGTTAACAAAAGAGTGTCTGAAGCTTCTACAGATGTTAATATAATGATGGCCAATTTCTGACTCGCTGAACATCAGAGGAAAGTACTCTAAAACTCATAGAATGCCTCCCAGACACTAAACAAAATAGTCAGTGAGACAGGGAATACTGGTAACTTTAGTTTGCATTTGTTTGCATTTTGCATATTAGTAACTTTTAGTTTGCATTTCTGCTGTCGTGTAGTACACCTAGTACATTTTATTTTATTTATTTCTATGGAGAGATCATGCATACTTCAAAGTTGCAAGAACAATATGTTGGAAAAAGCAGTACAGACGATAATAGGCATTTGTTATTCTCCAGAAAATGACCTTTAAATGCAATGCACAGCATGTTCACTTATCCCGTATCCATATATAGATTGTGTACAACTAACTTATTCACACACAGTAACCTTTTCTTCAAAAGATAAGAGGTGAAGGAGATGATTGGCATAAAAAACAAAAAAGGTAAGAATAATGAAAGGCACAAGATTGCCCATTAAAAGTAGAAGCCCCGGAAAAATATCCCAGCATGTATTCTACTAATTTTTCTCTGCAACATCATAGTTTTAACAGTAATTATAAAATAATTTGGCTTGCCTATGACTAAGGACTGTTAAGTCTAAAATGTTTAATGCCATCCATTTTGTTACAGAAGGATTTTACAGGTTTATTATTCCAGACTCATTTTAGAGTAGAGTGGGACTAATCTACAAGGAGGGCACAGGGTAAGACCCATTAGTTGGTTCTTATAATAATGGTCTGTGCTTTACTTTTCTTTTTGTTTAATATGTGGTCAGTGGTATTATTTTTAGAACGTGTATAATTTGACAATTCTGAGCAGAGTTGCATCATTATTTGTTTATCTAAAATAAACCAAAAACAAAATAAGAATGCACCTAAGCATATTAGCTGGCATGGCTAGTTCCTACTGAAGATCCAAACAAGTTAGCTCACTCGTGCCATTACAGAGGGAACCTATAAGTACCTCTGATTGACCCCATACAAAGGGGCCATCCCGTATATAAATACAAGATTCCATAGCAGAAGAGTTACAGGAACATCATAGAATGTTAATAAAATAAAGAATTACATTGTAAAATATATACTCTGCTTACAAATGCTTTTATGTTTTAAGCCAAACTGATGTAAAATAATTGGATTAAAGTAAATCCTCATTTTTGTGTATTTATTATTTCTAGAAAATAGCAGGATTATTTAACACATGTTGACCTGATTACATGTGCATGCTATTCTGTAATTCCCTAGTGATCAAAGAGGTACAGCAGTTCTCCAGATAATGACCACACCAATCTGCTACTAGCAAATATTTGAAAATACCCCAAGCAAGAATGTATGGTAAACGACAGAGAACATACCATCTTGGGAGATGATCAATAGGATGTACAAATTGTAAGAACTACTAATAGTGTAGGATAATAGCAAATATTGGAGAACATAAGGGAGGGTGGGGGTCAAGATGGCAGTATTTTTGCAATGAAGAAGCAGCATCAGTAGTTCTTACGAAACATGTCTGTGTGGGTGCTTAAATATTTTACTACCTTCACTACTCTTGTTTTCGGAATCCATTCCAGCATGCTAGGAAGACCTTGGGGTTTGGTACATTTATAAGGTGATCTGTGAGTGACTTTTTATACCTCTTGGTAGGGGAGGGTGTATGGTGTAAGAGACCGGAATGAAGAAAGGCAGTGATATTTTTATACGTCTGCCCAGACTGGGCTTGAATAGTGGGCAATACCACCACTTAGAGAAGATCACTATAATGTGGAGTTCTATATATTTATATATAAAAACTTTATTTGGCACCAATATTTTCCTAGATTAAAAGGGAAAAAAAATATCTCAAGCATCTGTCCAGTTTCCACAATTGTACAATAGAAAGAGGACATTTTGCATAGTACAATATTCAGAATTATTCAATAAATTATTTACTAAAGTGAGAATTCAAGGTGAGCTGAAAGTGGATTTCAGATTTAAGGTTTTCAAGATATTATTCCAGTTTGGCTACTTTGACCTTAAATTTGAAATTCACTTTGAATTCACCTTGAATTATCAATTAGTGAATAACCTTGTATGCATCTTTTACATCCCCTTATCCTCCATATGTCCTCTACTTTAGCATCAGTGCTCGGCATATGTGCAGCCACGGATGCAATGTCCTATTCACAACCGTAAGTGTCATTAGTGAAGAATATTGTGCCATCAGTGATGCAAACTGTGTCACTGTCAAACCCCCATGCCAGTTGCACCTTCCTTCGCTGCTGGCATATTATTCCAATAATGCCAATGTTGGGAAATATATTGTTGATTAATGAAATGTAGAAGTCATTTCGTTTTTATCTATCAACACATAATTTATCCCAGTATGTTTTCCTTATTTCCTTGGTTATGGGAAGTAAAGTGTTTATTTTTGGTGATTTATTGTAGACACAATTTCTCTTTGCTGTCAATATCAGTATATTCATTCTGGTGTTTATGTATTCAAACAGATAAAATATATTGTGTCACAACAATGCACACTTGTAGATATTTACGAATATTCAGTATTATGTGTTTCACTGCTTCCAAGTACGGAACAGAAAAGACTAAGACAAATTGCTTTTGTGCAAGCATTTTAAGTACTATAATGACTGCCAGCACAAAATAAAAAGACATTTGTGTTGCCTAAAAAGATAAGCTGCATTGTTTGGATCTATGACAGTAAAACATGCAATTATGCTAAAAGCTCAAAGCCGAGGCTGTAAAAACAGCAAAGCTGCTTCTCTTGTTGTACAAAATACATTTTAAGTATAAATCAGTCGAGATAAATGTAAATAAAACAGCCAATCTCTGTGCGAACATGCAGGAGAATGTAAGCAATAACCCTCCAGATTCTTGTTAACCCCTTAAGGACCAAACTTCTGGAATAAAAGGGAATCATGACATGTCACACATGTCATGTGTCCTTAAGGGGTTAAAGCAAAATCATTTTTCTAATCCAGGCGAGCAGAAGCTACATTGTATTTAACGTATTCTGTCATTTTTCTCATATCAACTAAGCAACATTTTACTAATGTTTGCTGGGTAATAATGTGTATCTCTAGGGGATATGCCCAACTATCTGAATGTCTGTCAGAGCACATTTATTTAGATTTTGCCAGATGGTACCCATACCATCTCCATATTTTAAAACCCCAAGTGTGACAAGATGTGAGGAAAATAAATTTTATTCCTATATCCCTTGTTAAAGTTTAATCTAATTAAACCATGATGGCATATATTACATATACGTGCTACCACCACCTTCTAAAAAGGCAGTCAGTGGTGCCCCCCACACTTTTAGTGTTTTTCCACTGGTACAATGACAGCAAAGTGCCCAGCTTGTAGCCATAACACCCTGCAATATGCCAATGTGTGGGTATAAGTATTGTCTTTCAGTGCTTTTCTCTGCAAAACATTTTTAGACTTACCAAAGCCAACATCCAACCAAACTCACATGTAACCAAATTCTCTGGGCATTATTTATCTTTGCTTGGTTTGTAATGTAGGTATTTTTAAAAAAAATTTCTCTGATAGAAAGACCTTTGAGTTCAACTCTTACCATCATCCATAATGTCTTGAGCAGCCACAGAATTTGTGTAGACGACCAGATCGGACAACGCTCTGCATAATTTCATGGTTTTCCTTCTCCGGCCAAGTCTGTTGATGTAATGGTGATTCATAGTTGAAAGACTTATGAACAACAATAAAAACAATGACTATTTCAAAATAGATTCATGTCAATTTGACAAAGATGTGCACAGTCACTTGAACAACTTCAGCTTAATGAGGTTGTTCAGGTGAGAACTATAGCTCCCTGCAGCCTCTCTCATGTAAACACTGTATTTTCTGAGAAAATACAGTGTTTACATTGAAAGCTAGGAACACCTCCAGTTGCAGTCACTCAGAGTGAACCAGAGGGACTTCGGAGTTGATGGAGGCATAATATGCCTCCGTCCACTCAGATCTGCTATCAGCAGAGTACAGGGCAGGCACTGTGCACAGCATCCTGTGATTCAATATCTCCTCCCTCTGCATGCAGACACTGAACTTTCCTCATAGAGATTCATTGATTCAATTCATCTCTATGAGGAGATGATGATTGGCCAGGGCTGTGTTTGAATCATGATGGCTCTGCCCCTGATCTGCCTCTTTGTCAGTCTCAGCCAATCCTATGGGGAAGCACTGTGATTGGATCAGGCTACCACATGTCAGCAAAATGCTTGTTTTTCTGAGTCTAAAGCATGCAGATTTACAGCTTCAGGCTTGAATACAGTAAGATTTTTACTATATTTATGGAGGCATAGATGGTAGTATTAACACTATAGGGTCAGGAATACATGTTTGTGTTCCTGACCCTATAGTGATCCTTTAACATCTAAGAGATTTGTGAAAATTCACAAAAAGTGTTGTGTCTCAATCCTTTGGTATGTATAAAGAGGTGCAATACTTACAATTCTCAACTCTAATCTACTGGATACTTTATAAGTATTTAGTGCATTAGCCTGATATTAGAATCTATAGAAATGTAATGGTTAAACGTGATATCCTGCATATACGTATCAACTACATCACACATAATCTTCAAACCAATCTCTTCAGCTGTCTGAGCATTATGGAATATATAGTTCACAAACATCTGCAGTTCCAAGGTAAGCCATTACTGCTACACACATTAGTAAAGACTAGATTGGAAAGGGTGGTTTTCTGTAATGAAGAAGTACGTATAGTACTGGTCTATCATATCCCAATGATAAGTTCAACATTGCACGGAACCATAATGTGCACCTTCACTAAGAATCCGTATTCTAAAAATGTGGACCATATATAAGGTGTAGCTTTATAGATATTTTTTCTGAATGTCTGGCATCTAAAAAAGAAAATCAAATTGCTTTCTTACCTGTAATGAGCATTTTCAAAATCATCTTCTCCACCAATCCAAGCACAAGTAAGCAAGATGCCATATGTGGCTTGGCTCCACCTATAGGAAGCATGAGGCAATGTCTTCATTTACCCTGCCCACCCCCTTCATATCCAATATTTCTTTAAAAAGTAAGGAAATTAGTTGTACAAGAATAGGAATAACAGCACAGAAATAATTAGAAAAAAAAAAGAGTGCACAAACGAGGACTGATAGAAAATGAATTGTGAACAAAACCGTACCAGCCCGGTTTCCAATAATTCCAATGCTTGTTAACGCTGTATATAAATACATTAAAACTATTATTCATTTTCTAACAGCCAACAGAGACAATAGAGAGTGAGTAAGGAAGCAGCGGTCTGGAAGAAGGTAATGTTATATTAATTTTCTATATTAATATATTTGTTTTTGTTGAAATAGATGGATTGTTTTTTTAATGTATGGATGATAATGCAAATGATATAGTAACTGAAAGACTTCTTCAAATAGATAACTAAATGAAGACTGTAACATGACGTCAAGGCATATTAACTGAAGGACTTCCTCAAATGGATAACTGAATGGTGACTGAAATATGAAGTCAAGGCATAGAACCTGACCACATGGATTTTAACTTAGATGTATTAAAGGGACACTATAGTCACCAGAACAACTACAGGCATTTCCATGTAAACACTGCCTTTTCTGTATGCATTGCTCCAAAGGGACACCTCCAGTGGCAGTCACTCAAACAGCCACTAGATGTGCTTCCTGGGTCAATGCTGCACAATGTGGAGCACAGACGTTCAGTATCTTCACGCTCTGCATGCAGTCACTGGAATTTCCCCGCAGAGATTAATTAATTTGATGCATCTTTATGAGGAGATGCTGATCGACCAAAGTGGCATTTGGCTCTCCCAAATCCACCTCCTTGACTGAGATCATCAGAATTTACATTCTAAGCCAATTTAATGTTTTGTTGTATGGGGACGGGGCCTGCACCGGCAAAACCGTGTGGTACCGGAATAAAGGTAACATTTTACCCTATTTAAGGGGGGTAGTGCCTAAATAGTGGTTTTAACACTATAGGGTCAGGATAAGTATATCATTTGTATACCTGACCCTATAGTTTTCCTCTAATTATACAGCTTGGTTTAGATTCAGTCTTAGTATTATGTAACTCCTGTGAAAATTTATGTTTTAATTTATTTTTATCGGTTAATAATACAGATAATGGGCCCTGGAATAAAACGACTTTTGAACAATGAACTATAATACAAAAATAAATAAATAAAAGATCTAATATGAATACAATACTCCGTGTTTCCTCTACACTATAAACACTGCTTGTATACTATCACAAATCTGGATACTCTTTTGCAATAGAAAAATGAAAATGACTGTCCATTGCTAAATTACTATGCTGCTAATACAGTTCTTGAGCAGGGTAGCAAGGTCTTCTCATAACTAGAAAAAAAACAAAAACAAAAAAAAACAATGAAGGTTAATAAATACTAGAAACGGAATTGATACAGTGCAGATTCTGAAGCTCAGCATAATGCATCAACTTCAGCTTTTATTTCCAGCACAGTTCAAAAGCTCGAACACTACAGAGAGGACTAAAATGAAATCTCGATTCCCATATTAATGCTTACTTTCTAATAAGATTTTGCTGCTTCCCGGCTTTAGAGTTGATACCGATTAAGCCTTATCTATCTCAGTTTATGCTAAATTATTCTGTGGAACGGAGATATGAGCACTTAGATTTCCCAAATTAGTTAGAAAAAAATGATATGACGCAATGTTTTATTGTGCGTAGTACTGTAACAAAGACTTCATGTCTCCTGTGTATGCTTGTGTAGTTGTTGGAATGATAAAGTTCAGATTCACAAAGGTTAATTCATAAGGCCAAATATAGTATAGAATAGAGAGAAAGAAGATGAGATATTGGACATGATCAAGAGGGTTGGTGCTCTGATCTTACTAGTAATCCATAATTACTTGAGGGGAAATGAAACCTTAAACATAAGCTACATATAATAACCTTTATAAAATATGCAAACTCCTGCCACAAGCTTTTTAGATATATGCAACATTAAACTTTAAATCAGTGTGAGGGGAAAATACCAACATTGGGTCTGATCTAGGACACCAGTCTAAATACACAAAGGTGTCATTTGATATGATATGATAACATAACTTGAAAAGTATTGTTTAAATATAAACTAATAATTATGAATGTACTCTCAGTTAAATCATCTCTATGATGTGTGCAAGAAAAGCAAAACCATGCCCTTGTTTAAGCAACAGTGATTAGCTATGCCAGAACTGGGCAAGGGTTCACAACAAAGAGAACAGTGGCAAAGAAAAATTGCACATATAAAGATCATCAAACATCACTTATGTTTATAGTTTAAATTGCTATTACTGAAGCTCTTACTTGTGTCTGTATTGGTGGTGACGAAAAAATATTCAGTGAAAGAAAATTAGGTAATATGTTCATTATAAATATATAAATTAGAATGTATTCCTTGTTCCACTACATTTATATATTTAGTAAAATGTCATAGCACCTTTTTTTATAGCTAATTAGGAGACTGTAAAGGTTGTTAATAAATTCTTAAAATTCTTCTGTTGTAGTTATTAGAATAGAAATTGGTAATTCTTTGTGCTTCATTATGCTTTCTATGCAAATTAATCTCCTGACATGTTACGAGTCAAAGCAGTTATAAAGGCAACAGAAAAAAGGGATGTTTTGCATAAAACTTGCAAATTACGATACATGGAAAAAATTCTAACTTTTGACATCTAATAATGTAAAACAAAAAAACTTTTAAGGTTCAAATAGCTTTTAATATCTACCAAATATTACAATAATCTAAAAAAATACTGTAAGAAAAAGCTCTAGTTTTAGAGCAAAAGTGAAACAGCTATTGTTAATAGCTCAAATGTATTTAAATTGTTAAGGAACACACTGAAATATTTGCAGATGTCACACACTAGTACCCAAATACCAAAGTAAGACTTTCTGTTTTCGAATAAGATCTTGAAAAAACTAAATTATTATGGTGACCAAGACCGCCAGTCTCCTCAATAAATTAATTTTTGAAGAAACACACCAAGAGTCATAAATACTACAATGACCTGTAGTGGTTATGGTGCCAGAGTGCCCTGGCACCCCACAATGTTTGTATTCATTTTAGAAAGGTTTGACTTCTTACCTGGGATGTACTGAGTGCTGCTACCTCCCTCTACTACAGCCTTCCAAAAGCTTGTAACTCTTTGAGTAAATCTCAGAGTGCAGGACTTCACTTATTGGCAGAAAGCATGCCAGGATGACGCACAGGAGAGCTAACAGGAGCAGAAGGTTCCAGCTCTCTGAAGGCTGTAGTGGAGGCATGGAGTCGCACCTGGCAGACAGTAGATAAAAAGTCAAACCATACTAAAACGGTTTGGCTACTTACAAGGGCGTCACGGCATTCCTGTGACCATAACCACTACAGTGGACTTTCATGGTTAGAGTTTCTTTTACTTTTAACCACTATACATTAACATACCTATGTAAAACCTATGTTTATATGATGAGTATCAAGACTGCATGTTCAGCAATAATATTGTTTTTAAGCCATGTAATATTACCATTCTGTTTATGTGATATGGTATATGATGTGATATGGTATATGATATGGTATATTATGTGATATGGGATAGGATATGATATAATATGGGATATGATATATGATATGATATGATATAATACAAGTTGATAAGGCAGGGCTGAATATGGATTTGATATATGAGCCAGTTTACATTAAAGTCAGAGATATCAAAAATTAGCTTTACAGAACAAGGACAATAATGTTAAATTCAGACAACTTTCTCTAAGAAGTGGGTAGTTTACACCCACCACTTGAACCTGCCTTACATGGTTACTTTATAATATCATCCATAGAAACATTATATCTGAGCTTAAAATATTATAACAGTTTTAATTGCCACCAATAAAATATAATACCCTTTCTTTGGTTTATATAACATGAATACGCAGTGCTAGAAAAATATAATGGTGGAGATGGAGTGGATTAGCAACAAAACTGTTCTTCTACAAATTACCTTAATGAATTGGCAATGAAAGTTACTTAAATTAATCATATAAAGAATGGCAAAATATGATTCAGGTTTTAGAGGTGAGACTAAAGTCAAGAAGCTTTTAAATATACCGTATTTTTCCATGTATAAGACTGTTTTTTTCTAAATTTGTTTAGTCTAAAATTGGGGGTCGTCTTATTCATGGAATGTCAATGCAGGGGTAAAGAAAAAAACTTGTGCGCGGGCCTAAGCCAAGATGGCAACAGGGTGTGGGGGTGCATGCTTGGGGCAGGGTGTGTGGGGGACAAGGTGTGGGGGCAGGCTGTGGGGGTGCATGCTGGGGGCAGGGTGTGTGGAAGAAGGCTGTGGGGGGCAGGGTGTGGAGGGCAGAGTGTGGTGGTGCATGCTTGGTGCAGACTTTATGAGGTGATGCCTAGCATATGTTAAAGCAAGAAGTCAGCCTTCTTGTCTAGTTCTGACCTGTGCATCTGTCCCACTTCCCTTGGAGATAACTCTTCATCTTCATCCGTACTGCAAGATTTTGACCTGGATTTTGCCGTTTTCTGGGGGTTAAAAAGAAACATATACTCATTTAGTGATTTCAATCATTTATACCAAAAAATATATTAGTAAATATTATCTTTGTTGTTTTTAAGGGTTTATGTGTAGATTTCTTTTTTACATCTCTAATCATAAATACATTATTTAATTACAAAAATATCTTCCTTGATCTTGACAGACAGTTAATACATTTTAATATTATTATTATTATTATTTATAAAGCGCCAACAAGTTGCAGCTCCGCCGGGTCTCCGTTCTCGCGAGAGTGAACACTAGCCCAAGAGGTGCAGGCTAGAGTTCACTCCCCACTAGAACCGCCAGGGATTCACCACGAGGACCACCAGGGCTTTAGAATCGATATCCCCCCTCCCTGTGCAAAGATAAGAAGGGAGGGGGGGGATACTATGAATAAGAGCAATTCCTGATTAAAACAAATAAGTGTTGTTGTTTTTTATTAAAAAAATATGTTTTATATCCCTCCTCCTTGGGAAAAGCTAAGAAGGGAAGGAGGATATAAAGCATATTTTAAATAAAAATAAAAAACACTTATTATTTTTAATCAGCCCTCTCCCCCAATTACACACACACAGCCCCACCACACACACTACACCCACTGCACCCCCCCATACACATATTGCCCAAACTGCACCCCCATACACACACTGCTCCCACTGTACCCCATACACACAATGTCGCACTGTACCCCCATACACACACTGTCCCACTTCTCCCCATACACACTGCCAAACTGCACCCCCGTACACACACTTCTCCTTCACACACACGCTGCACCCCCATACACACAGTGATCCCCCACACAAACACTGCATCCCCCATACACACACTGCCCCTACTGAACTCCCATACACACACTGCCCCCACTTCACCCCCATACACACACTGCCCCCACTTCACCCTCATACACACAGTGTTCCCACTGTACTCCATATATACACTGCACTCCCATGCACACACTACACCCCTCACACAAACACACACTGCACCTCCTACACACAGTGCTACCACTGCACCTCCCTATACACACTATCCCACTATCCCACACACACACACCTACCTACCTAGAGGCCCTATCCCAATACTACAGCCCCTATCCTGGCAGACCCCATGTAAATTGCCAAACTGTTCTTAAACGGTTTGACTATTTACTCTGGGAGGGCACCACGGAACTCCTGGCACCATAACCACTACATAGAGCTGCAGTGGTTACTGTACCTGGATTGTTTCTTTAAATAATCTATGAGTGTCCTTCCCGAGATAAGGCTCTGGATCCGCCAGTGGGTGAGCATCAGAGGTAGGAGTACGAAAAGAGGTTAGACGTAGGTGTCCGGCAGAACGTAGGGGCCAAGATGGGACATATTTGTGTAATAGTGAGCATAAGTAGGTCGGAGCAGCATTGTGTAGAGATTTGTAAACAAGTATCAGGACCTTAAATTGAGTTCTGATCTTACAGGAAGCCAATGTAGGGACTGACAAAGGGGCAGGCGTGGGATGTGCAGGCGATCAGGAAGATGAGCCTCGCCGCCGCATTCATTATACACTAACAGGGCAAGATAGGAACACGTAAAACCACTGAGAAGCAGATTACAGTAGTCAAGGCGAGAGAACAGCAGCATGGGCAAGCATCTTTGCTGTATCAGGCGTTAAATAGGGTTGGATGCGTGCTATATTTTTGAGATGAAGTGGGAGGATTTGGCGATTGACTGGATATGAGGGGTGAAGGATAGGTCGGAGTCAAAGAGAACACCTAGGCTGTGGGCCTTAGAGGAAGATTGGATGGTAGCACCATTGACTTGGAGGGACACAGACATTAACACTTGAGGGAGGAAAGACCAGAAGTTGTATTTTAGACAGATTCAATTTAAAGAAATGAGCAGCATCCAGTTGAATTGACGTTACAGAATAATTGCATTAAAATACCAAAATATAAAATGTATTTCTTTAATGGCAAGTTTGTAAGCTGGTGAAAAACAAATATTCATTGCAGGGTTTTGAATTTTGAATGCATGCCCGTGTGTACACATTGCTGGAATTATTACTGAAGCAGATTTTATGAAGGTTCCAGCAATATCAAATGTAAATGAATGGAAATTAACAAAATTTGCGATCCTGACTTATCATTTAGAGGAACAATTCATAATGTATTACCTAGCTAATGCCTTAAACATTTGCAAATAAAAGATTTAAAAAAATTATTTCAAAAGAATATTCACTTTTGAATTTCAAGTGTTTTGCCTTACCTGATGCATATCACATAAACTCTGAGGGATTTTAAAGTCATGTACTTCAGAACTTCGCAGCAATTCCATTCATTAGATAAGGAGAATAATTAAATTGTTATTTAAAGTAATACTATAGTGTCAGGAATACAAACATGTATCCCTGGCACTAAAGTACTAAATGCCCCAGGCGGGTCTCTATCCAGCTGGCCCCAGCCAGCTCCAGCTCCTTGACGGAGATCATCAAATTTGATGATCTCACCCAATCCAATGCTTTCCTATAGAAAATTATTGGGAGGCTATTCATG